CTTGACACAGTAAGTCATGCCTCCATTCTTCTAGCAATGTTTTGAGTCCGTTTTGGGAGCATGATATCTGCCTACGTTATGTCCGTCGTCTGTACCACCACTTAACCAGTCCACGACGGTTTTCTCGTTTAAATAAGTCTTCATGCGTGTGTGTATGTAAGGGACGTAAACGACCGTCGTATGCCAAACGTAAACGTTTGTCGTAACCAACGATCGATCGTATTGAAAACTTATGTGACCAGAAGATTACAGCAAGACGAGAGGTAGACCCATGTATATATATAGATATATATATATATATATATATATATATATGTGTGTGTGTGTATATATATCACATGAAGCATAATGGTGCTTTATTTATTGCGCTGATGGAATTTACGGGATTTGGCAATGATCCAAAACTACGCGTCCTGACCACCACAGCCTGACACAGCGCGCATTTTCCGTTGTTCCGTGATTTGGGATCTGTCCACCGTGTACCACGCATCAGGAATTGTGCACCGCGGGCAAATTGGAGAGCATCGCAGCAGTTTTACAGAAGCATGGAGGCGAGGCATTAGTGCCACGAATGTCCTTCACGGTTAGGTCGATTGGTAGAGCACTGGACACGCACCCAGAAGACACTGGTTCCAATTCCAGCAACTCCAATAAAAGGATTCGGGTTGTGACGCATACATGGCCAAAGTCAACCACCAAGTCTTTGTCAGGACCAATAACACCTGACGACCGCTGGATAGTTAATGAGAATGCCCCACCTTTGGGTATATCAAAAAAAGGTACCCAGGTGAAACTTAAGGAACAGTTAGACAGAACTACACATCTTCCTTTCCTGGAAACCCCAGACCGGATCCCGAGTTCACGACGAGTGCACTGTCGTAATCGCCGTTGTCATTGTCGTAACCGCCGTTGTCATTACGACAGCATAATCTGCTGTCATTACGACAGCATGATCTGCTCAGACTTGTCGTCAGGCGTTACGGCTTAGAGGCACCACCTCCGAGCTGTCTTAATCCGCACATTGCGGGCCTGCGAGCTTAAAAGTGGCACCTTTACTGGTATGGATGACGTCAGTGCAAATGAACGTGTGTGATTGTCATAGCGGGCGGCAAGGGCCAGTTACTGAGAAGCGCATTGCGTAGAGTTTGAACCAGTGCACCACTTTGGACCATGTGATGCTCCGTTTCCGAAAACCACAGTGCGCTTCGAAAAGAGCCACTATGATTAACACCATAGGGAAGAAATCAAGGCCATAGTACGTTTGTTGAATTTGAGGGATAATACCGTCGCAATATGCATATCTTTAAAAAAATCAAGCATCCGTAGCATTTATTTCATAACCTTTTCACACAACGTGTGTTGCAAATATTACAGAACCCACACAAACATTGGAAAAGGCAAGGGCAAATGAAATGTATTACTTCCATAATGGTGCGCAGGGAGTCCAATGAGGTTTTCCCGGCGGAGCGCCTGCTTCAAATAAAAATTTCTAGTTTTCCAAACGGATTTCGAGAAAACTGGTGTTGACGATCAAATCCTAGGCGTGTAATCTATGAATCAGTGAAAATTACAAACTGGTGGCATATTCCCTCTAACTGACCGAAACATTGTGTACATACTAACATACCAGACGAGGATGATAGTCCACATAATTGTATCATCCAATATCACAGCAACTTTACAACACAACATAAACCGTGTAGAAATACATGCACAGATCGTTTTGAAAGCAATACCGTGCATGGCATCGAATCAGTTCAAATGAACTTTCATCAGACGTACACCTAAAGGTAATTTTATCCAACATTTGGTCGGGGACGACCGCGTATAAAAATTACAATCGTCGTCGATGTTGTCTTTGGGGCTTTACGACGCACTTAGCTGTTGATAATACATGTCGTCGTCTGCCTTCCACCCAGGCGGGGTGGGGGGGGGGGGGGGGGGAGCGAACCACGTAAGGAATCAAACTCCCTGCCTCCGGTTTTTAAGCCGCGCGGCTGAACCACTACATTGTCAGTGCCTGAAATTACAGCCGCTACTTCTTTTCACTTCACAGTCCAGCCAGAATTGTCTTATGGCCTGGTAGTGGGCATGCAGTTAATTATGACGAGAAGAATTGTTAACAGGCAAAATGTTTAGTACTTCTTGATGCAGCTTCAGCACATTTTGCTAACGACTTACCCAAATGTGTTCTCCCAAATCTGTAGTCCACCTGACACATCATCTATTTCGCGTGGGTAATCATGGATTTACCCAGCCTTTCAAGTCCTCTACCGGGCTCGTACTCCAACAGTAGTGGTTATACATCGCGCGCGAGTCCCACAACGACCGCGCTGCTTGGTCCCAGTGACAGAAATATGAGCTGGCATCTAGCTAGATGCAATGGCCTAGTGTCAGACGGCCGTGCCGTAGCATTGTGCGGCACGTAAAACCCTACACACTCATGTCAGGCGAAAAGCCAAGAGACCAAATTATCGAATAGGTAGAACGGCACAACCTGTGTGGAGACTTCAGGACATACGCAAGATGCTCGTGCTGGCAGGTGCTCTAGGCCTAAGCCATCCATGCAAACCATTCGAAAATCATTTCTACAACATGGCGTCGTGCTACCAGCATTGCAACAAACGACTATCGACACTTCGTCGCCGTACGTCATGTTCACAAATCTTCCAAGGTGACGTAGTCAGCAGCCACTAGCACGTCTCAAGCGAATGGGATTAGTGGCCTGGCACTTCCAGCAATTGCCGAAAAGACAAATGGTTTTGTTTGGTTCTTTTATTGACAGATAGATCCAAGCGTGTGAGTAATGGCAACGCTTACCATAACGCCAAGTGAGGCACAACATATGAACGAATCGATTCCCGCCTTTTGTTTTAATCATCGTTTCAAAACTGCAAAGTCTTGTTCAACTATTTGGAGATTATATATTACGATGCCTCAACTAATACGTGCGCCAGACTCCTGAAGAGTGGTGATACGGAAAATAGTATGCCAATCTTCCGCTTGCAGCTGTTACAGAAAGAAAATTATTGAATTTAATTAAAATGAGCCTATAACGTATCTTAACATGGCATCAGTATGCCAGCCATGCTTAGAATATGCCGTCTTGGAATTAATGACATCCATGTTTTGCAGTTACAGCTCGCCAACAGCTTTGAACTTTTGTGTCGGCACATAAACAGAACTAGGTTGTTAACTATGCTTCGGAAATTCCTTAAGTCGTTTTTAAGCCCATAAAGAAGGAGCGTCTCCGTCAAACGCAAGTTTCAAAAATTGCCTCTCTTAGCTTTGAGACGCATCATCTTTAAATCATGCCCACTCTGCTGTGTGCTTTGGATTTATTGTATCTTATCTAAGCGACTTTGCCTTTTAGTGGAGTGCCGCTCTGTAGGCGATAAAAAAACAACGAATAAATCAACAAATCGCGGTGGCACAGCGTGCCAGAATATCACAATACTGTGCAAGACCGCTTCCTGGGCAGAATCCCCTGCTTCCAATGAGCCAGGAACAGCGTGACCTTGGAGAAAACTGCAGCTTAGCGCCGGTAACTACCTCCGGGCTCGAGAGGGTGGCACCAGGTGCAATCCGTGCTAAAAGGCGCCCCGAGCTTGAAACGAGATTAGCAGTGCAATAGCATCGTACCTCAGGTTCCAGAAACAGGGCGAACGAAAGGGTATCTGACGGCCCACATATCTGTAACATGGACGCAGAGGCGGGCGGCAAGAACTGTTCCTGTTCGCAGCCGCGTTTTTGCTGCCGTAGAAATTATTTTTGCTGGTTTGCATCGGTAGACAAAACTCAAAATGAGAGTAAATTTACAAAAAAGCTATTTCCGACCTTTTCTGACGCTCTGAACCTTATCGTGATCATGATGTTATCATCATCATCACTATTATACTAAAGAAAGTCGTGCGTATGAGTGGCTGCGTTTGCCCGCCATCGGCGTGTGTCTATTGCCAAGGCCAAATGGCTGTGAGTTTCTGCGCGAAATTCGCCCGCGACCCGAGTCAGCTGACGATGCTCGGCAGCATCACGTGACGACTGTGCATTTGCACCGTCAGCGCGTGGCGAACGAAATAAATTCGCAAAATTCCCATAGGTTTAACGTGGGCGGCACGTATTTGCGACAGATGGGAGGACAGCCGGACATGCGTGCTCTCCTGGAGCTATATCTCGACAATGACGGGTCGGAGCGACACGATATTGGCACGCTTCGATAAGTATTTGAACGCGAAATCGGTTGTTGACCATTTTGAGATGGCACGTGTGACGTGAAACGTGCGCACGAATTAGAAATATGAAATTGACGGTTTTTATGGTTTTTATGTGTTGGCTCGTGCCTTGGCACTCAGTGCAGGCACAGGCGTGAATTCAGTTTCACAACTTTCACAAGTGCACCAACAATTTCTACTATTTCGAATTTTAAAGGCTTCTTTTACTGCGCATCACGAGCTTGCGCAACGCACGATAGCGACGCACATTGCCAGACAATTTGCGAATGTTAGGAATTCCAAAAACATTGTTAAATACAATGTGCTACCGTCAAAACTGTGAGCATTTTGGCATTGTAAATCACACCAGCATATTCGTCGGTTCGTTCTTTCCAAACACCACCCCTTTTATTCAGCGTGTTGTGCCCTGTGTCCACCACAAATGAAGTTTCGGTAAGGAGCTGCATTAGGACTTTTCGCACGCAAGCCAAATGACACCACGTGATCTCCCGGCTGCCACGGTAGCCGAGAGATCGGAGACGAGATAGGGTTACTACACCGTTTATGGGCCACAATACGCCGTAGCCTTCACGATTTTAACTCAGCGCAACTCTGTTTCAGTTGCATGGTGAGGTTTGGCGAAAAGCTAGCAGTGAAGTTACAACATTCGTCCGACGTTAGAGTTTGGAGTGCGCTGACAGTGCAGTCTGAAGGTCAGTGGAACAGTGCAGCTCACTAGAGTGAGGCTTGCAACGGAGTCCAACGTCGAGCAATTCCATATCCACTAACCTGAACTGCTTGTTTTCGCCGATGGTGCGGAAGAAGTAGGGGTACTGGCTGCGGTTGGTCAGCAGTACACCTTCGGCGCTGTACGAAATGACCAGCACTCTGAAGTGGCGTGACACACCGGCTATCGGCTCCAGCGTGTTGGAGCACGCTGGCCCTGTGGCCAGGTCAGGTCGGGTCAGCTGGGGTCACACTTGGTGACCCAGGGTCAGGGCAAGATCAGCCGGTGTGCGAAAAGCCAATCAGGATTTTGGGACACTTCTCGTTCTAAAGCCACCACGTGATGGCGTGTAGAAGAAGGGGCAATTCTAGCCGTTATCATTCCAGGTCAGCTTGCCGGACAACAGGCTGGCCAAGTTGGGTCATGGGGTCATCTCTCTTCGGATCAATGCATGTCGAATGATGGCAGCCCATGCACCCAGAACGCCATTAAGGGAGATCAACGGAAGATGAACGATTTCGCTGTAAGTGGCAAAAACTGCTACTGCACCCACTTCACGTAAATGCCAAACGAGGGATTTTTTTGTGCCGAGCTCCACCCAACTTGATGAAGCTTTGCATGACAACGTTGTCGAGTGCATTTGCTTCGCAATGGACTAAGCGATGATCCATCATTCGTCAACAAAGACGATCAAACTACCATTGAAATCACACTACCAAACTACCAAATCATTAACGAACTATTTAATCGTTTGCCCATTGGTCGGCCGCCGGTCCACCACAGCTGGGTGCAGGGCCTCTACCGTGACGTACCCAGTATGCCGACCATCTGCGCAAAGCTGGGCATGCGCAGGTAGTTGATGAAGCTCTTCATGACCATGTCCGAGCTGCACTGGCCGTCGCTGGACATGAGGGTGAGCTTGTAGTCCTGCAGGATGCTCGTGTTTGAGTTGATGGCGCGAATCGCCATCATCACCGCTGCAAGAAACAGGACAGGGGTGGGGACTTTCACCATGTTGACGCTGAGTGTGGCAACGTCTGGAGTCGTGGGTTGAAGGGATTCTGTTCGATTTCCAGCGCTTGTTTGCGTGTGTGACAGAAAATATCGCTTTGTTGTGAATTTTGCATTTTGCGGCATGTTTTTCAAGTTGATTGCTATGTCGAATACAATGCCGATTTTTTCCCACCAAACATGGCGCACAGAACAATGTCCCATGCACAAAGTATATTTAAGCTATGTTTGCATTGAAAGGGTGATCAAAGCACCGTTCACGTTTTCGACCCGAACTGGCTGTCATCATTGACAACAGCTGACATACGCCGCAACATGCATTTTGTTTTCACAAGCCTGCAGCCCGTATGTCGCACTTTACACTTACGTCATGTCGAGCATATGAGCTTTATTCGCCCTATGAATGTTAAACAGCGTTCGAATCACGAATCACGAATCAGCTTCACCATGAAAATTGCCGACGTCAGTGCCTGTTCCCCGTACGGGAGTTCTGCCCACAGAACACAGCGTGCAGGACAACCTGGGCACATGTGCACTCTGCCTTCACGGCGGACGGCACTTAACAGTCACCACAACGAGGCTATCCGGCATTCAGCCGCCGGTGCACGGGCAGCAGGGTCGCGAAGCCCCAAGAGGTGGCGCTGGGGTGTCCGCTCAGTTTTTGCGCAGGTTCGAGAGTTTGCATACATCAAGACGGCGCGATCTGCACTGCGTTCGGCCCAAGGGGCCAAAGGTCCTTTTTAGACGGCGTTTCTAGGCTTGTGGGCGGGCACGTGGGCTGGAGAGAGGAGAGTTGAAAAGAGGAAGCCAGTGCCCCTTCATTATACGAGCGACGGCTACGCTGGTACATTCGTGGACCGACCGAAACAATCGTAGACCAGGGGTGCTGCAGCTCGTGCTGTGGTTTGCGTGAAACAACATTCCATCGTAGATATCAAGAAACACATGTTCAGAGGTCTCCGTTTTTAAGCAGCACGTGGACTTCAATGAAGCGTGATGACAGCAAATTACTTGACAAGTGATTTACAACAAGCTCATTATGATAACCAGATCGGAAACCCCAACCGAGGCCTACCATTCAAGCGGCGATCAAAACCATGACGGCCGCGCTTTCTAAGGTCTGGTCCAACGGCTCCATTCCGGTTGCAAACCAGCATTAAGTTGCGTGGTTCGCACATTACTAGCAGACAAGACGGCTGAAGACAGGAAGGCAGCGGAGCTCCCCATGGCAGAACACATCCACACAGTTGTGAGGTTAATAGTTTGGTCACCTGCAGCAAAGCCAGCTACGTCAGCTGCAAGTGTCTGAGCACCACTGCATGCAGATGTGCCCAGGGAAAGAAAGCACCTGCAGTTGCAGGCCCGTTCGTAACCGATCAGCAGGGTCCAAGATTGATGTGCATCAATGAAATAAATCCTCTCTCGGGAAAGCGAGCGGCGACTGCCGAGAAGCGCTGTAGGCCATCGCTGACCTCTGCTTGAATCTCAGCGCACCGATCTTTTGTGACAGCGACACGTCGCAGGGAAAATCAGCATTGAAGCAGCGCACTGCAGTCCCGTCTTCTGTAACGTATACCGCCACCGTACCATACAGTGGCCATGTGGCTTATTCTCGGCCTCGAAAATCGGTTCTATGACACAAATTATTCACCCCTGTCGGGACAATGTTCTCGTGCTCGTCACAGCGTCGGCCTGCACCAAGCGAGCCGTGATGCCCCGTCTGACACGCTCCCATTGCGACTCCGACGTATGACATTCAAGTTGCATGTCATAAAAAAGCACGTCGTCGCGCGCCCGTTCGTGGAGCGCTAGAGACCGCACAGATTGCATATTGGTGCTCAGGGGCCATGGTGCAATCGGGGCTCGACCCTCACGTGAGAGCCGAAAGGTGTTACTACTCGGCCGTCACACCCTTACATGACACATTCCAGCTGACGCAACCACAATGCGCGCGACGCTGCATTGTCGATTGGTTTCCAACAGAAGGCCATCAGGATCCGAGTCGAGTCGAGGGACTCGGTGGGATGCTATACTTGGTTCGATCGACATATTCCGCGATTTTTTTCTTGCTTTATTTTAGGATCAACTTTGTATCCATTGGCACACCGATTAAATCAGTCGACTTCCGTAGATATTAATCTCGTAACTGTGTGATAAGGCTTGATGCACGGTGAGAATGCCTGCGATTGCGAGACATGACGGGTGACCTGGCCATCGTTGGGCGATACACGAAAGAAATGAGCTCCAATAACAGCGCCGTGATGTATGTAAGGCACAACAGGTAAGCAAATATTAACTCATGAAGCTGGAAAAGACGATGCTACAAACGCAAACCACGCCCTCAAATAACTTAAAACGATTAAATCTGCCATCACTGCCACATTCAAAAACAACAATCCTTGACCACCGAGAGAAGATGTGGAGAACTTAGTTCTTCATTGGTCCATGGCATTTAGACAAGAGCAACAGCGACCCTTCAGCAGTTTCCATTCAGTCCTGAAGCCTCAGCCGACTCACAGCATCACCCTGTCAGCAACCTAGCGCCTTTCACGCCGTGCACATGTGGTGGGGACGCCCGGCCCCCGAAAAGGCCGGTAACGCCCGGCCCGCGACACCGTACTGGGACACAGGTGCACCGCCATTCGGCAGTCATGGGGAACGAAAGACAGAGACAGAGACAGAGACAGAGACAGAGACAGAGACAGAGACAGAGACAGAGACAGAGGCAGAGGCAGAGGCAGAGACGGAGACGGAGACGGAGACGGAGACAGGGACGGAGACAGAGACGGAGACAGAGACAGACACAGAGACAGAGACAGAGACAGAGACAGAGACAGAGACAGAGACAGAGACAGAGGCAGGGGCAGAGGCAGAGACGGAGACGGAGACGGAGACGGAGACGGAGACGGAGACGGAGACGGAGACGGAGACGGAGACGGAGACGGAGACGGAGACGGAGACGGAGACGGAGACAGAGACAGAGACAGAGACAGAGACAGAGACGGAGACAGAGACGGAGACAGAGACAGAGACGGAGACGGAGACGGAGACAGAGACAGAGACGGAGACGGAGACAAAGACAGAGACAGAGACAGAGACAGAGACAGAGACGGAGACAGAGACAGAGACAGAGACAGAGGCAGAGACAGAGACGGAGACCGAGACAGAGACAGAGACGGAGACGGAGACGGGGACGGAGACAGAGACAGAGATAAAGACGGAGACAGAGACAGAGACAGAGACAGAGACAGAGACAGAGACAGAGACAGACAAAGAGACAGAGACAGAGACAGAGACAGAGACAGGAAAAGAGACGGAGACGGAGACGGAGACGGAGACGGAGACAGAGACAGAGATCCCGAGATGTGAGATAATGTCATCCCGAGATGGAGAACAGCGCAAACAATGGGCAGAGGGCGGGATCAGCGCATACGCAGTTTGATGCGCCACTTGACGGATCATACAATCGCTGTTCGAAGTGCAGAGCAGTGGTGCAGTGCAGATAATATCGCATACAGCATAGAGTGGTCCACCTCATCGATCTAGGGGCTGGAGCACTAATCAGATCTTCTGGGCACAGAGAGCAGGTCTATCGATCCTCTGTGTCCACTGGAGAAAGCGACTTATGAATCATCAAAGGAGTGGGGGCGCAAGAGAGCATTGTCAAACAAAAAATAACGTAGCGGACAAATCTCTCACCACGCCTACATCCATTACATGTGGATGCTATCCATCAGGGGAGGCACCACGTGAGGGGGAGGAGGGGGTGATCGTTCCTAATAATTATGATATATTCATCATTATTCCCGCACTCCCAATAATGTCCGATATCAACACTACGTATCAAGCACTGGGTGAAGAAAGCAGACCTAGCATATCTTACATCACCTTGTTTGTTCACTGATATCTGCAGTCGTCAGAATTATCACTCCTTTTTAATTTTATTGCTGTTTGAGCCTGACTGAATTGGCTCATGGTCGGTGGCAGCGGCTGCACAAACGATCAGGGAACGAGACGGGCAGTACCGAACGTCGAGGCACATACAGCTTCGTCGCAAACTGTTGTCATTGATCCGGAATTTCACGATCGGACGGTGGGATCAGGGCCAGCGCATCAAGCACTGCTCAGCGTGGGTGCCGATTCCAGCAATCCATTCAATCAAAATCTCGGACTACTGATTCGCCTGCAGCGCCGTCCCTAGTGCCCACTGCTCCACCACGCGGGCTCCGCACGTGACTACGGGGCGCAAAGTTTCAGCCAGTTAAATGTCTGGCCGTCGTCATGCCTGGTTTAGTCCTGAGAAGGACTGGGTAGTGTTTAGCTTTTAACCGTGTTACATGCGGCATGCCTGAAATATCGGCTTGGCATTGAGGGAATTTGGGTCATGACTCGCACCACATGGCTAAAAGCCAAACACCATCTAGCCCTTTCAAGAATTCAATAATACCTGACGACGGCCCAGCAATTAACTGGCCGAAACGCTGTGCACATACCCACTAGAAGAGGACGGTAGTTCGAACAATTAATACATTGGTGTTTTTAATGCCTCTTGTTAATCCTTCCGTAAAACTTTGCAATCTAGGTTGCATAGACCTACTCATTTCACGCCTAACAATATTGTAAATTTAGATTCAGCACAATATTCGGTGCGTTGACACAAGAAGACCAGAAAGTATCTCTAACAAGTGCATTTAACAACACGGATAGATAGGTACCGAACTGTACTCACATCTACACGGATCACGAATACATGAAATATACGGATAGATAGACACCGAACTGTACTCACACGTACACGGATCACGAGTACATGACATCCAGACAGCTGAGGTGCTGGCGATGACAATATGATGAAGACATCACTGCTATGAAAATAAAGCGCGGAGGCGTGCTATTACAACTGGCTTTGGCGCCCTGCTTTAAATTATCAAATAGCATGCCAGTTCATGCAGCAGCTTTGGAAACA